CCAAGGGTGGGGGGGTTGCTCTGCAGAGGAACTGCTTCAGTTTCAGGGTAGCAAAAACGCACTTCAGACTGTGTTGGGAGGTCATGAAGCATCTTCTGCAGAGGTGCAAGTTAGAAAACTTCAAACTTGCCCTTGTTTCCTGTACCACAGGCTTTAAAAGCTTTGGGTTTGCTCTGAAAGTGAAGCAGAAATTGTCAGGTTTTTATTTTTATAACAGAATTTGCTCTGAAAGTGAAGCAGAAATTGTCAGGTTTGTATAACAGAATTGAGGGTCTGTGTTCAGGGCTCAGAAAGGCATCTATCTGTCTGTGTCACCAATCACATCCATCTGTTCATGTTTAAATATACATCTGGCAGTGTCCTTATCATGGTCAGTCAGCTGTTAAAGATATTCTTTATAATGACTGATGAGAAACAACAAAAGAAATAAATATTTTTATCGATCTTAGAAAATGTGAACAGCAGTAATTTTATTAGCGTTTAATTTCTTGGGTTTGGGGGTTTTTTTTCTAATAGGAAAGCCTGATGCTCTTTTGCGTTTTGTTAGCCAAAGTATGTATTTTTATAATTTCATGTTTTATTGTTTTYATACAGGCTCTAGGAAGTTTTTACTTTCTTCACGAATCTTTGAAAAATATCTACCAGTTTGATTTYAAAGGTAAGCAAAAGAATTAAATATTTTTAGTGGTCAGTTGGCTTTATTCATCAAGGCAGCTTTTCCATCCTCTTTTCTGACGGTGGTACCTGGCAGTGTTTCCATGCCTCRCAGAGGACTGTGCAGTGCAGGCAGGTCCCTTGGTGACAGGTGTTGCTGTTTTTACCTTTTATAGACCTTTTAGAAGAAGTCAATGGACCGGCCACAGGTTGCAAGYCGGAGCATTAATCATTCCCATGGACCTTTAGGTCCATAGTGATCCCTGAGGATTTTAGAAGAACTGTAAATGGCTGCAGGGTTTTTCCATGTAGATTAGATACAGGACCRAGACCTTAACTGTCCTACAGCGATGATCATTTTGCAAAGCAGCTGAGGTAGATTTATGGCTTGAGTTACTTGGGAGCAGAGCAGGTCAGTAGGAGGGTGGCTTTGTTTTAACCCACAATGATCCTTCAGGTTGGAGGTCTTGCTATATCTCACAAGTTTGAAAGTAATGCTAGGCTTTATACATTAAATATTAGAAATATCATAGAAAATTATTGAATGCTTTCTGAGGTGAATATACAAAAGATTATATAAAATTTATACTCTTTCTGTTGAGAACTGTGTGTAATTAACGCAAAAATATCCTGAGCTTACTGAACTGAGTCACATTAATACTACATCTAGTGTCCCATTAATGTGAGACACTGTTAAAATGGTGATGACTATGGACTGAACTAATTGTCTTAATTCTATAGATTCATTATTTTTGTTCTCAGTAGAGGCAGATTCTTTGTGCTCATGTAATTGAGGGTASAGGGTCTTCCTGCCCTGAGATATTTGAACAGTAGTTCTGTGTGTGTGCAAGTCAAGACTCAGTCAACGTCAGTCCTGTTCCCACTGGTTTCGGTTTGGAAGGAGCACTTTTGCWGTAATATCGGAGGGGTTTTATTTCTGACAGYCCYGATGGGAGCACCCCACAGCAGRGTCRGCRTTCCWSAGACAGRTCATACCTAGGCTTTGTCCCAGACWGGGGCAGTTKTGCAGGCACTCAGYACTGAACTGTGCACGTGGTGGGGTAGCTGGGGGGTCACAAGTGTTCCCCAAGCCCTGGGTTTATCCATTCTGTGSTGTGAATGGCTCTGTGTGMYATGGGAACTGTCCAGAGCTTCCTCTGGTAAGCACTGGAGGAGCAGCAGTTCTGCTCTAACTCCACCTGAAGGTCCATCCCAGTGGTCCCAGATGGGAGATTTCCCGCTCCAGCAGTACCTGATAGGGAAATGACAGCTGCTGTAGGAAAAGAGGAGCTTCCTGAATTTATTAGTCCTTGATTGTCAGCTTATTCGCTACTGTAAAGCTTTTRAAAGAAAGTGTAAGAATTTTAAAAAAGAAAACAGAAGAAAGAAAGAAGTATAGAGGAAAACAATCAACAGATACTTTTTCCAGAAAACAAATGCTTTAAATGGTCRCTGCTTTGTTTTGCTTGGCAAAATCTTAGCAGAGCCAACTGGCATGTGAACCATGCTCATAAAGATGGGTTGGCCCAAACATCATTAGAAGGAAAAGCTCGTAATAAAAATCCAAGGAAATGGGTGAATCAGTGTTGTAAGTCATCTGCTGTTCTCATAATGTAGAGCAGGATTCGTCTCCCAGGATAGGRTTTGTAAAATATGACCCCAAGGGCTCCCATCTTTCAGGGGAATTGTAAACCTTGCCTCTTCTCTCRTGACTATTCACATTTTCGCAGTGTATTAAGCTCTTAAATCAGAAGAAAAATCCAAATGGATACAAACATTCTCTACACAAAAATCATTATTAAATTCTGGTTCTACTCAAAAGCATGCAAAAAGTAGATTTTTATACACAATTCAAAATTCCAGGAACATCACTGTTGCTTTTCAAAATTCACTGCACAGTTGGATATGACTGAATACAGACTGCAAAAAAAAAAAAAAAGACTGTCACTGTTTTTCAGATCTCAGGAAGACATCTAAGTTTTAAAATAARAGCAGTTTTCTCCTGCAGCCTCATGTATTATCTGTGTAGATTGTGTAGATCTGTTGGACTGTTTTCACAGTGGGCAGAAGCCCAAAAGTTGGCTTACAATTTAAACTAGTACCAAGTTGTGTGTTCCAAAGGGCTGTCCTCCGAGAGAGGGGGTTTAGGCCAGTTCCAATCAACCATTTCTATTTTAATGAAAGAATGGTATTCTCTGGTGTGGAGTCAGAAATGSAGTAGAGCTGGTTTTAGACAGGCAGCATTGCCCTGCACGTGCTGCTGAGCTGTGCTGTCAGTGAGCCCCTGGCTTACAGGTGTGTGGCTACTAATGTGGGTGCTGGGGAGGTGCCCCTTTAGCCAACTGCTGCCTTTCCTGAAGTTCTCCCAGCAGAAGCCTTCAGTCCTTACAGTTCTGACAAGTATTTTCTGTAACTCCAATGGCATCAGGATCTCTTTGCTGACAGTATTAAACTTGCTGAAAGAGGCACATCCATCCACGATCTTAGAACGATGCCAGATCAGTTTATCAGGATATTTGTTTAGTTGTCCTGTGGGATCCAGACTTCAGAGTGATTGTCACATTAACAATGGAACCTTTTCTTTTCCCCAAAGACATAGTGCTGCATTATAATAAATGCTTCCTCAGATATCAGTAGGACTGAACAGTTTAGGGCTCTTGATAGTACTTGGTTTGGAGCTTTTCTCTTATACATTCCCAGTTAAAACTCAATCCAGTTGAGTAGGTCCAGCATAATGGCAGCTGTACATCAGCTGCCTGAACTCCTGTGTCAGAGGAGTTAAAGTGTCAGGTTCCCAGCTTGGATATGCCAGTACATTACTCTCATCACGTGAGAAACCCAAGTATGAAGTGGATCAAGAGGCAGARCCTCTCATTTAGGAGCTGAGTAGATCCATAAGAGTCTGTGTTGTTTCTGTCTATGATGTAACTATTCCTTAGAGAGTTTGGTAAACAATGTGCATTATCCCTGAGTCTCGTGTACAAATCCAACACCCATCCCAGCTGTTCATCCTCATGCCTTGTGCGCTGATGGCCAGGAAGGGCTGATCTGAAGGAGGCTGGGGGCTTCAGGGTCTCAGAGCAGCTGAGGTGGGATTGACTGCAAGGGTGAACAGAAACCAGGGTCCTGGGTAGAGCTCCAACACTTTATAGGGCTCTGGATAGTAGAAATTACAATTCCCATAAATCTGTGTATCTTCAAGCTGTCTGATATAAACAGGGGTGTTTGTTTGCCGTCAGAACAGTTCAGTGCTTGCAGATTTTTGATAAGTGTTGATTTTCTAGCTGTTTTGCAGATGCTGCTACTTTACCAATGTGTGAGAAGTTGCTCATAATGTTGCATGTTAATTTTGTTTTRTCTCTCCTCCTAGCTAAGAAGTATAAAAAGGTTACTGGAAAAGAAATCTACTCTGACACTTTAGAAAGCACGCCCATGCTGGAAAAAGAAAAGTTTCCACAGGATTATTTCCCTGAGGTATGTACGGGGCTGTGGAGCACTCCCAAATACTGGGTTTGATTCTGATTTCCTCTGACTACTTGAGCAGCTSCTCTCAGTGATAAGGGCTGAATGGAACCTTGGAATTTTATTTGTCCATTGGTTTCTTGACCAAAGTTTCCTGACCAGCTGTAATATATGTTTTAAATGATGGCATGGCTGTACCAAGTTCCAGTGGGAAGTCCTTGGGAAGGATGATGACAGCGATGAAAGCTCATTGTGCATTTTAACCGTGAGAAGTGGTGCCGTGTGCCA